ATCTATCGATCTATCTATCGATCTATCTATCGATCTATCTATCGATCTATCTATCGATCTATCTATCGATCTATCTATCGATCTATCTATCGATCTATCTATCGATCTATCTATCGATCTATCTATCAATCTATCTATCGATCTATCTATCGATCTATCTATCGATCTATCTATCGATCTATCTATCGATCCATCTATCGATCTATCTATCGATCTATCTATCGATCAATCTATTTATCGATCTATCTATCGATCTATCTATCGATCTATATATCGATCGATCTGTCGATGTGTCGTTATGTCGATGTGTCGGTCTATCGATCGATCGATCGATCAATCAATCTATCTATCGATCTATCTATCTATCGATCTATCTATCTATCTAGCGATCTATCATCTATCTATCGATCTATCGATATATCGATATATCGCTCTATCGATCTATCTATCGATCGATCAATCGATCGATCTATCGATCTATCCATCTATTGATATATCGATCGATCCATCTATCATCTATCGATCTATCGATCTATCGATCTTATCGATATATCGATATATCGGTCTATCGATCAATCGATCGATCTGTCGATCTGTTTATCTGTCTATCGATCGATCTATTGATATATCGATCGATCGATCGATCTGTCTGTCTGTCTGTCTGTCTAGTCTGTCTAGTCTGTCGAGTCTGTCGAGTCTGTTGAGTCTGCCTAGTCTTTCTAGTCTTTCTGGTCTGTCTAGTCTGTCTAGTCTGTCTAGTCTGTCTAGTATGTCTAGTCTGTCTAGTCTGTCTGGTCTGTCTGGTCTTTCTGGTCTGTCTAGTCTGTTTGGTCTGTCTAGTCTGTCTCGTCTTTCTTGTCTGTCTTGTCTGTATGTCTGTTCTGTGCGTCTGGTCTGTCCGTCTGGTCTGTCCGTCTGGTCTGTCCGTCTGGTCTGTCCGTCTGGTCTGTCCGTCTGGTCTGTCCGTCTGGTCATTCTGTCTGGTCTGTCCGTCTGGTCTGTCCGTCTGGTCTGTCCATCTGGTCTGTCCGTCTGGTCTGTCCGTCTGGTCTGTCCGTCTGGTCTGTCCG